GTTCCGATTTAATCAGAAGACAAATTAAACAGGATGACTAGCCAATGTGAAAATCAAAAGAAAGCATAGAATAATGTACTGAAGGAGACTGTTGTGCCATCACATTTTTTTGTGGTTTGAGAGCAAAATTTCGGTCACTGCTGTGCAAAACTCCACAATACAATTAGGTCCGAAAAAACCCCGGAGGAGTGCTTCACAAGGAGTCTTTGAAAGGAGCCGAGTCTGGTGTAAAACTGGAGAGAGCAGGCAGCACGGCCGCAGCACCCCCACCCGCCCGCCCGCTCGCCGTGAACGAATATTCGAATATTCGTTATAAATTCTGCCGAAGGTCCGAATGTTAAAAAATGGCATTTGGGACAGCCCTACTAACCACTGAATGAGTTGCCTATGATCAGCTTCCATCTTAATGTTAGGATTTGACTTGCTGCTTTTAGTTTCATGATGTGTGAAATTCACAGAGCAATGTTCAATATTGGAAGCCAGCTACTGACTTATGGAGCTCGAGGAGCCCAGTTGTCTGTCTCAAAGTCATTTTTGTGGTTTTACACTGTCGTCTTTGAACAGGCTAAACTGTGTGCGATATATAAAAAAATGCTAGCGTTAGCTTTGGAGAAAGCTGAAGTATTTTCATATGGAAATGCAGATTTCACACTTGTAAGACAGCCTACATGCAAAATGCATTTTTGTACATGCTGGAGTGCTTATTACCCTTAAACACACACAGACACACACACACACACACACATCGCCGCTGGTGTAAGGTCATGTTCCTAATTAAACTCCAGCAGCTGTTTTTACTTTCATTTTGAAAATGATTAGACCTTGACTTTTTATTCCACAAAAAAATGTTTGCTCAAGGGTTTGTAATTTGTAATGAAAAGATCACAGTGCCGTAATTGGAAACATACTGAGATGTTGGTTATGAAGGCTGGTAGGGGGTTGGCCATCTTGAAGGCTAAACACGGCTGGCCTCTAACCAACACAGCCATCTATCTGCTGTCTGCTAATACCCAAACTAAGTCCTTTTGACAAGGAAAAGGCTGAGCTGATAGTAACACATGCATTTTGAAGGTTTTGTGGAGCACAGATTGTGATGTTGAATATTCACAGCACACTTCATAACTTTAACATGTATCTAAAGGTGAAGGGAAGTGGTACAGGAACATTGACTACTATCGCCTGGATGGTTCCACCAATGCCACCACCAGGAAGAAGTGGGCTGAAGAGTTTAATGACACCAGTAACACAAGGTAATATACTGAACCTACACTCAAAAATGTGTTTATCTTCTGTTTATGTCCCCTAAAAGGTCTGACCATGACCATACTGACTTGTATCTGTGCAAATTTAGTCACTCATGAAGTGTTTTCACATTCTTTTACTGAAGGGGGTGATGTCTGTGCATTTCCCTTAAATCTGAGATTCAAATGTACGTTGGGTGAGCTAAATTAGGTATGTTACTAACAAAAGCCAATCGCTGTCTAATACAGAAAAAGCATATCGACTAGGGAACAGATTTCGACACAACACCAGCAAAAAACGCAAAACCTCCAGGGCAGAGTGAACTTCTCAGTACAGGGAGCAGAGTTTGCATTAGCAGAGGTTAAGTTTTGATAACAAACCTGATAGAGTGTGCAATTTAAGGATGTAAACCCGACCCCGGGGCTTCCTTCCACTAACCTCTACCAACAACCCTGTTGTATCGAATATTAGTATATGTTTCACAACCACTAATGTTGTGTCAGCCACTGCCAGTTATCCTACAAGCTCACAAACAATACAAACTAAAGATGCTAACTACACCTACCATTCTAATTCATCTGCTAGTCACCAAGTGTCAAGTGTTTTTTTTTTTTTTTCATAAACCTAGGTAATGTAAATCTGTGTGAGGCTTGTGGTTCAACAAAAAACTACATAAACATTGGGCATTTTAAGCACTAACTTGCCTCTCTCTTCCCCGCTCTCTTTCCCAGAGGTCGTTTGTTCCTCATTTCAACACGAGCTGGCTCTCTTGGCATCAACCTGGTGGCAGCTAACAGGGTCATCATCTTTGACGCCTCTTGGAACCCCTCCTACGACGTCCAAAGTATCTTCAGGGTCTATCGCTTTGGCCAGATTAGGACTGTTTACGTGTACAGGTTCCTGGCCCAGGTCAGATTATCAAACTGCTTTGATACTTTCTGTAAGTAAAGATGTATTCTTCCTTGGCTGTCTTCTCATTACATTGTCTTTTTCTTTTAGGGTACAATGGAGGAGAAGATTTATGACCGGCAGGTAACCAAGCAGTCTTTGTCATTCCGAGTGGTGGACCAGCAGCAGATTGAGAGGCACTTTACAACGAACGAGCTGGCCGAGCTCTACACCTTTGAACCAGACATGCTGGATGATCCCTCAGGGAAGAAGAGCAAGAAAGCCACGCCCTTGCTTCCTAAGGTGAGAACTATCATGCACATTCTGTATGTGTGCCATGTATGCGCTTAAATTGTTCAAAGTATGCTCTCTAGAACCAAGCATATTTTTGTAAATTAAATTCAGAACAAATCATGCATCTTATTAGGCTTTGACAAACCACTGACTTAGATTTCATGGTTTTCTTCAGACTGATCCCCAAAGGAAATGCAGAAAAGCAAGCTGAAACCTATTAACAGTAGTAAAATCGTCTTTTTTTCCCCTCAACAAACATGGCACAGAATACCAGTTTAAATGCCAAGCTTGTTTTTCTAAACTTGCACCAAGTAGTATGTTCCTCCTTTTGAAGTTTAGCACTTGAGTGATAAACTGTTGTTTGAACACAATGCCAGCTTGTATCCTGCCTTGCCTTTCCGGGATCTATCTATTTATTCTCGTTTCCTTTCATAATCTTGCGCTCGCCTTTGCTCCCCTTAATGCAGGTGCAGTGTCACTATTTGGGCCCCCTGGGGTTTAATAAGAACACACAGCCCTTACATGGGCCATCCAACCCCGCACAGCTGCACAGATTTGTGTGTTTACTTCTATTTACTAAATAGTCTTCTCATTGCAACACTGCTTCTGCCCTGCTATAAACCTGCACTCCTCTTTTTTTTTTCATTAATTCCTTGCTGTCTTTTACTTCTCTGTTGATCTTTGAATTACTCCCATCCTCTTCCACTCCTTCCCTTTTTGCAGTCTCTGGGTTTATTCAGATCATCTTAAGTGGTTTTACCTCTTTGTTTTGGTTTGACCTGGGTTACTCTGCAGAAGTCTGTAAACAGAATGGATAAAAGAAAAACTGTGTATCCAACTCGCTTGCTCTTTCACCAGACAGTTGAGAGGCCTTTCAGTGCACCTTGATGGAAAATCTGTTTTCCATTTACACTGTCAAAAGATCTTTGTCACTGTTCCCTTCATGGGTATTAACAGGTAGGAGCACGGCATGAATCCGCTTATCCGGCAGCTGATATCATTGCACTCACCTTCCATATTCCTCTAAACCAGAAGTAGCCTGCTTACAGCACAGCGGAGCACAGTTGGGGATTGGAGAGGAAAGATGTGTTCATTGAACCGCGGCCTGTTAGATGTGTATGATGTTTAATGAGCCCAGTGACATTTATGTGACACAGTATTAAAGACGGAGAGGCTGACAAGCTCTTTAACAAGCTGACCTGTTTTGGCCAGGGGGTTAACTATGATGTGGCAGCAGGAGTGCAGTATTACGGAAGGAATTTGCCGTCTGGAATGATGTTGAAGATGAGTCAGACACCCTCCATCACTTTCAGCCAACAACGCTCTGCACAGAAGGAGAGCATGATTCGAGCCACGGCAGAGGGAGTTTTGTACTTCTTCTAAACTCCTCACACTGGGAAGAGTTATTTTCTCAGCCAGAGAGGGCACATTACTTTAAAACTTGGGTCACACAGGTCAGAGAGGCAGTGTTTGATATTTGTGCTTAAAGAAGTATTTCACCACTGGAAAGATGTGTTTTTCATAGAACTGGACTGTCTTTGCAGTAGAAGGACACAAACACTTTTGTAATTGGTGCTACATAACGAGAGAAAACTGACAAAGAGGGCTGTGCCACTCGCTTTTGCGCAAGACCTAGAAAACCAACAATTACCAGAATGCACAGTGCCACACCAAACCAACAGTCAGTGCCGCTGGTGAGTGATGGAGCGTGAGTCTGTTTTGACACAGGAAACAATATGGTGGCCAGCTGGTAACAAATGATCTTGGATTACCGTTAAAATGTGTACCTAAAATATGTTTCTGAAAACATTTGAGATGAGAAATAGGCAACACAGTAACAGAAATCTTGGTTCATACTTTATTATCACTGCCTGGTTTTAGTGTTCGATCTGAGTTTGTTCTGAGTTTTAGAGAGAGAGAGATGGGCGCATCTCTTTCTCTCGATCCCTTCTATACTGTCTATACTGTTCGTGGTGGCCAGAATACAGAAAAAGCACAAGTACAGTCTGTAGTTTCAGTAACAACCCTGGAACCAGAGAAAATCTGCGGATGATATCTTTCAGAGAGATTTAGTCTCTGGTATGATGGAGGAAAGTTTACCATAGTTCACTGGTTGAAATTCAGTGAACTGTCTCTTTTATGAAGCTGAGTTGGACTTGGTATTGGTCTTATCTTTTGCTTGCGTTAAGCCTTGAAGTAGGGAAAAACTCACTGACGAGATTTCTTTCCTCTGCTACCCCTCCCACCTATCTGCTCTCTTGTTCACTCTCTCTTTATGTCCGCTACCTGCCAGTGTCCTGCCATGTTTTTTTCTGCACCCACCTCAGCTCATACTTTACATTTATTTCCACTTTCCTCCCCCTTGTCCTCAAGGGTTAGGGTTATGTCCTCACTCTTCCCTGTCCACCATCTTCAGGACCACCTGTTGCCCTGACTCGCCACTATGCCTCTGAATGTTCAAAGCGAGCTCAGTAAAGTTGTTTTTCTTTTCTCCCTCTGGCCTACCCTGCATGATGAAGGGTCATTATTTAAACCCCTCTCTTAAAGATGTCTCTGCGCTCCTCAGAGAAACTAATTGGAGACAAAGGAAGCAGGAGCACTTCCTCCTAATGACAAAGAAGGTCCTTGCAGCCCAGACATGGGAGTTTGACTCCCCACCCACCCATCCTTAGACACCCTCACCTATTTCCTGTTCATCACCCATGTCTCTTCCATCTAACATGCGACCACATGTAAAATTAGGAGTTACGTCTTTGGACAATTTCTACCCGACTCTGCAGCATTGTCTGCAAATGTTGCTGCATTGTGCACTGTCGGTCAAGCTGGCAGGCTGTGGGCGTACCTCACTGTATGTGCTCTCAGCAGGTGATGGCTGCAGCAGTCATTAGGCCCTGTCAGGTACACTGAAAGGCTGTGGGGAGGCTGCACTTGAACCACAGTATAGACAGGAGCAGACTGGAGCAATAAGCCACACCATGCTTGTCTCATTAGGGGTAGGAAGTCACTTTGACCTTAAAAGAAAATCCCCCCTTGAATCCTCTAGCGTTATATATTACCAGTCAGTGATGTTCAGTTGAATGTAGGGTGTTTTTTGAGCTCAAAGTTTTGTAAATTAGTTTTAGTTTGTGCAGTCTATATCTACTTGGGTAAGTGGTTTCTCATACTTCCCAGAATGCTTTTTGCCAGCTTTCAGAAAACATGCCTGAGCTTGTTGCATTGCAGGTGGAGAGAGCACTAATGATAGTAACAGCAAGGGACCGTGTCGTTGCAGGCGAGGGAAAAGCAAGAGGCATTGCCCTCGTTTGCTGCTTTCTGGTCTGTGGAAATATTTGGTGTCTCTGCCTCTTAAATGATGAATCTGTCTCTGTATTAGTGGTGGGAACCACATGGTAACTCATGATATTTTGGCCATGATAAAAATGGTAGCACAATACAATGGTTCTGTGGTGCTTGACACGCTGCAGTCATCTAACTAATGTAACTGAAGAAGAAAAAAATACCCCTTTTTAAAAAGGCAAAAAACAGGAATTATGTGGCTCCACACATTGACACATTTTGGTGATGCCATCGCAAATGAAATGTTAGCAGCCATCCTGAGAGCTGTGCCTCGTAACGGCAGAGAGCTCAGTAGGCTACACCTGTAGCGGCCATGGTGACAGCAGGTTATTTTTAGAAATAAAGTCCCTAGAGGGTCTGAAAGGTCACTCAATCTTGGAAGGAATACACTAAGTTGGCAACACTGTTGGGCTGTAAATAAACAGGATGCGCTGGATTCATAACACTTAACAAAATGCAGCAGAATAATCGTTTTATCTCTGTCTTGCACATCCCATAGTCTTTTTTTTTTTTTTTTTTTTGTTCCATCTGTGTTGTAAAAATCAAAGTGGGCCTAGTCTTTCAATTTAAAAGATGCAGGTATTTCTCTGATTTGTTTTCCTCTGCTGTCCGACTCTGCGCTGCCTGCCATTTTTTCCACAGAGTCGTTTCCTCACTGCAATTTAGTCCAATTCTGTTCATTTTACCCTCATTCAGTTGATAAGCGCCACCATGAGGAGTCGTGACTCTGTATTCAGGTTGGCAGGGGAATTCATTTAAGGGCCTGCATGATTTACTAAAATCATTGATCATTGGTGCCAGTGTTTTGATAACGTATTGCAAGAGGAACTAATAAAATGTATTCCCATATTAATGTTTTGTCCCACCCCTTGTTGAACTTGAACATGTGAATAGATGGTCACTATTGTTACTGATTTTATTTGGCTAGGCTGTTGTTTCATTGTCAGCGAAAAGGAAAGGGTGAAACACACCACTAGATAATAAAATGGGCTTAGAAATGTACAGAACATCAGCAACGCTAGCCTGAGTGTCAGACTGAAGCTCCCAGAACCTTCAGTCTGACAT